CACACACATACACACACACACACACACACACACACACACACACTCATGCACACACACAATGTGGCGCGAGTGGCGAGTGTTTTTATAATAATCTCTGTCTATCTGTTTGACTGTCTGTCTGTCTGTCTATCTGTCTGTCTGTCTGTCTGTTTGCTTTACAACAGATTGTGAAGTGTGGAAGACGCAATGGGATAAATGCTGATACTATATTATTATGTAATTATTATTAATTTTCCTTTGTCGAAAGCGAAAACGTTTTGGTACTAAGAACGTGGATATTCCAAGGGAAGTAACTACGACAAAGAAAATCATCGAGTGTCCGTGAGCGAAAAAAGCAACGTTTAGTTTGGAAGCCGGCATCAACAATCAACACACAGACCACAGACTAGTCTTTGGATTTGAAAAAATGTTCACGAGAAAACTACATTCCTTAGATTATCCCAACCCAGAGAAAGTTGATATCAGCGGTATGTAACTACATACGTAGATCTAAATCTCTGCATTCTAACTGTCTCTGCATTCTCACCCGAGGTGAGAATACAATATAATATTATTCTCACCCCTCCTATTAGCCTATCCTATGTAGTGCCTACCCGTTCTCAACATCCATTGCATTCTCAGACCGGGTGAGAATAATATTATATTGTTATTCTCACCTGGTGAAAATAAACTGGATTATTCTCACCCCAGGTGAGAATTTTAATATTAGATCTAGATCTAGAGTCTAGACTATTTTTATTTCGGAATGTCTTCGTCTTCGTACACGGTAACCGGGCACCTAGCCTCAGTGTCTACGTACATGGTAACCGGAAACTTGGCACGTAGTCTCAGTGTCATGTGGTAAACGGGCATGTAGCCTCAATATCTACATACACGGTAACCAGCAACCGGGCATGTATTCTCAGTGTCACGTACAAGGTAACCGGGCAATTCAGAACTCCAAGTTCAGTTTTTGTCATCCGGTGTTGCCTTCATCCCCACCCCTCCCCGGACTGTACCTTTAAAAAAAATCAATAATATATATAATCCCCCGATTCCGGAGCCCTATACATCACAACGCTCAGACTTTGAATGAACTTAGGTGACCCCGACTGGTACTCACAACAGTGTGATGCACACACACAAATTCACTGACTGGTCACGATGGCGAGCCCGACAAGACGCTTGTTTGACTTTCTTTTTTTTTTTCAGCAAGTGAGAGCTCAGGACAAATATTGATTTATTTTCATTCCGGTTATCGTGTACGTAGATACTGAGACCAGTTGGCCGGTTATCGTGTATGGAGATACTGAGACTAGGTGCCCGGTTACCGTGTACCTAGACACTCCGTTTTTATTTTCACCCCGGGTGAGAATAACGACAGCCTTAAAATAAAGTTCATAATGTCTAGTAGGCTTACTACTAGAATCTAGATATAGGGTGATCTTGTATCAGTTCGTTAAAGTCCACGTTCAATTTGTTCACATCCAGAGAAGAAATCCGGAAGTCTTTGTGACCCCATATATAGGCTACACAAAGAACAGGGTAACCTAACTGCAAAACATCAAATTATGGTAAAATTCAGGGGGGGCATGGCTCCCTGAACCCCCCCCCCCCCCCCCCCCCCTCCATATTTATATTGGGTCTGAAAACCTCCCTACCCAAGTCTTGACTCTTGGGGCCCAAACCGGCGAATAATAATTGGGGGGTGGAAACTGTCGAAAAAGCGCCATTCTTTGCTTGAATTTTGATTTTCTGGCTTTAGTGTTTCCTTCCAGTCTGACGCTTAGCCTAGTTCACTTCTCAATGATTACCTGTCAATTCCGGGTCTCTGGTGTTCAGTTTTGGACTGTAACGAATGAAACTGCAAAATCACTGATTCAGTTCTAGTACAACTAGCCTCTGCCTCACATGCGACTAAACATTGAATGATGCACTTGCCTGATTGGCTGCTAATTTTAGTAATGAGATGTCATTACATACTGGGATACCCACAGACTATTTTTAGAAGGCTGTGGAGATACCAAAGATTGTGTTGTAGTAGAGAATCTTTGGAGATAGTGCATGGAACGACATGCTAGGGCTAGGGTCAGTGGCTTGACGTATTGTCCGTATCCATGTCTTTCGCACAGTAACATTTCACACTTGCGGCTAACTGCAGCCTGTCAGTCATGCTCTACTGATTGGTTACAAGGTTTCCAGTATGCTAATGACATTTCGGAATTCCGGAAGTGAATCTTGATGCTTGAAATTGAAACACCGTAAACGCAAAGACAAATTAAAACGTGTGAAAATTGCCATAAAAACGCCGCCGGAAGATTACCCCCCCCCCCCCCCCATCCCCTGGGCCCGATAAACAAAGCGCCGAAGAGAGCAGCAGCATCATCGGACCATCACATCATATCACATTACCGGTATTCCTGGAAAAACATGGCAACGAAGCGTCGTGCCATCAAAGATTCTCCACACGATCTTTGATGCCATGCGGTTGGCTATATAGATTAATCACGTGATCAGAGGGGTATCCCAGTCTGATGTCACACAGGATGGCCACCTTACCTAAAAATTGTTTGCGTCGTTCTACGTTTAGTCGCATGTCTCTGCCTCTAGCCCCT